ACTACAACTACTACAACTACTACAACTACTACAACTACTACAACTACTACAACTACTACAACTACTACAACTACTACAACTACTACAACTACTACGACTACTACGACTACTACGACTACCACCGCTACTACAACTACTGCAACTACTGCTGCAACTACTACTATCCAAATGGCCGCCAGACCCACAGCAAAGTCACAAATCCTCCATTCTCAGAAGCTGAAAGCTATAGACTTGACACAAGCCATTCAAGTTGTTCCAGGCATCAGAAGAAGATCCATGCGCTTTCCAGCTGTACACCCACCCCTGCGGGCCTTACGGCGTCTAACTTGACACCTGCACCTTCGTCGGGTTCCTCTATCTCAAAATCAGTTTCGTCATCCAGAATACCTCAGCCGATCAACCAGTATGGCCTGCACCGTCGGTCTCAAGCCAAGACGGTGAGATTCGGAGAAACACGACTGATTCCTGACGAAATCTCACAATAGAGGCCACACTGTTCCTTGTGGCTTGGCTCGAATATGAATTATAATGACTAGCAAAATTGCTCCTGTGCTTTTCCATCATTACTTCCACAAACTGTCAGCAAAGGTCTTGACTTCTTCTTGCACAAGGGAATGTAGCATCGTCCCTTGTGATTGCTTTTGGCATTGCTGACTATGGTTCCTCTCTTGCGGACAACTGCAATTCATCACATCTCCATGTTCACTTTATTCTGTCTACATCATGCAAATTGCATTCTCTTACTTGCTTCCGAGATAGCTCCCGATAGCATAACAATGTGCCACCTGGCCGTATACATCCCAGCCATATTTACAAGATGTTAAATTACTCCGTAGCTTTAGAGAATGCCATGATAATGTGGTAAGAGGACAGCAAAATACGTCATGATTTGTCGTTGACCACACACAACATATGCCGACTTTGTGTACCTTTTCCCAGACATATCAACCCTCAATCAATCCAGACGTCTACTCTCTTGCGAGTATCAAGTCTATCTACAACTCTAACCTTTTTTTGTCGCTGTTCTCCTCCGTTGTACCAGTAGAGGTCTCCAAGCACTCCCAAGTGTAAACGGACTCATCTGAGCGTTGTGGCATTCATATTAAAGTCACGATGGAGGACCTCGCTCTCTACACACCCCGGGCTATTATAGAGCTATCCACCCTATCCTTGCTATTTGGACTGATGTATATCATCCTAGCCGAACCAAGGTATGTAAAAGTTCACGAGAATTATATTGAATATGGATTACCGTGATGAGTAACTCGTCTTTGTAGGAAGAAAGTCGCCCCTGGGAAATGCACGTGTCAATATCCAGACTGTCACTATCGAAATCCCTGCCAGCCCGACCGCGAAGTCACAAATCCCTCGACCTTGAAAACTGAGAGCTTTGAGTCTGGCACGAGCCATTCGAGTCCATATCCGAATGCCTGTCAGAAATACAACGGCGTCCCGAAGCCTCCACCGGTGACAGATCCCTGTATAATCGACTACTACTACCACTACTACTACTACTACTACAACTACCACTATCCAAATTACGGCCAGACTGATAGTGAAGTCACAAATCCTCCGCTCTTGACAACTGAGAACTATGAGTCTGGGACGAGCCGTTCGAGTCCATATGCGAGTGCCTGTCAGGACTGCAACGACGTCCCAGAGCCTCCGCCTGCGACAGATCCCTCTATAGTCTACTACTACTACTACTTCTTCTCCCACTACTACCACTATCACTATCCAAAATTTGAGACCGACAGCGAAGTCACAAATCCTACATCATCGACAACTGAGAGCTCTAGACATGACACCAGCCGTTCGAGGCGCTCAAGGCATCAAAAGAAGAGGCGTAAGTTTTCCGGCCGTATCCGGATCCCGGGGGCTTCTAGTTTAACAGCTGCAGCATCCTCACATTCCTTAGCGAGTGGAAAAAAGCAAATGAACATAAGTCGTCCCAGGGCCTCTATCTTGAAATCTGTCTACATGACGAGTTGGGAATCCAGAATACCTCGGCCGATCAATTGGGACAGGCTGCACTGTCGGTCTCGGCCCAAGAAGGTGACATTCGTGGAAACCCGAGTGAATCGATTTTACAAATAGACATCCCACATTTCATATAATGTGGCATGAGTTTGAATTATAGTACGACTAGCGACATTGCTCCCATGTTGTCCATCATTTCTTCCGTACATGGTCTGGCTCAGTTATCAAGGTTGTTCTTGGATTAGCAATTATCGGTCATCTCTTGTTGAAACTGCAGTTTATCTTCTACGTGTTTATATTCGCTTTCTACCCTTGTCACCCTGTATCGAAATAACCTAATGGATAGCCGGGCCACTATGAAGCCGACACCGTCGAGATCAACAATCGACAAGTGCTTTGCTAAATTGATTTATGTACTTTGATAAACTGCCAAACTCCTCATAAGACAATGAACAAAGGCGCAATATTACCGTCTATTCCTACCAAGTTCTAGCAAGCAAACAATAGATACTAGCGACACGTATACGCAGAATAAGCCAGGCAGAGACTTAAACACATAATAATAAGAGACAGCATCGGGGGAGTGTAATCACGGAGACACTCGGTAGATTGTTATTGGTTTAATTTCCTGCGAGACTCCTTGTGATTGACGTTATCAGATCGTACCATGTGACTAGTTTTTTTATGGACATATCTTTCTTTACCGTCTGTTTCTCCGGCGGATGTCAGATTTGTGATATCAAGCATTGTCCAATTGGTTCGGCAGGATGGGACGGAATTTGAGGGGCACTAGAGGATAATCTGATCCTAGTGATACCCTGTCCCAAAAGTCCATATCTCATTCGTTGGTTTTTTCTCACTGCATTTCCGATGGACTGTCTAAAATGAACGGCTTCAGAGATGCCACCGACTAACCGTTTCGGGGCATGCCTCAGTCTGGTCTGTTTGGTCCATGGCCCTCAAGCTTCGATATGGTTACCATGTAGACCTATTTCACTGAAAAGTCGATCGACTTTTCGTCAACATATAAGAGTCCTGAGATCTCCTTCGACAATGATTCCAATCCCCCAGACTAACTCCCTTCTCTCGTTGAAACCACTTCAAGATGGCCCATCGTCCTCAGCAAAGCCTCCATTTTCCAGCCCCCTACATGTCGATCGGCGATGGCACCACCACGCCGTTGGAGTTGGTCTACGCACTGGTAAGTATGCTAATAAATCATTGGCCATCCCAATTCTTACGCTAATGTGGACACACAGGATGAATATGGCGTCCACCAAGCCATCGATGAAACTTGTATGCCACGGGGACTGACTCTTCCAACCACACCTCCGGACTCCAGTACTCAGCACAGTGAGCACGAAGGGCATAGTCTGGATCCACAAATGGCCGACCTCCTGCAGCACGATTGCCTAACAAAAAATGTATTTTTACACTTCCAGCCCCCACGTTGTGCACTATCTCTAGCGCTAACCTGACTCCATCCTAGGTCCGACGGCGCATGCAGAACCGAGAGGCCCAGCGCCGCTTCCGCGAGCGCAAAGACCAGAAGCAGAAAACCCTCGAGCAGAAAGCCGAGGATCTCCAAATCAAATGCCAGACTTTGCTGGATCAGTACACCAAGCGGACGGACGAGGTCTGCCGCTTGCTCAAAGAGAATGACGCTCTACGATCAGAGGTCAAGACCCTCCGCCAGCAATGGGAGGTTATCTCCACTATTTTGCACCGGCCAAAAGGTTCCCGCTCCTCGTCTGTTCTTGTGGATGAGACTTCACCGCCCCCATCGCTTTGTTCCTCGGCTGAAAGGTCAGGGAAATTGGAGGACTTCTGGCGGCGTCTGGATGATTTCACCGATGATAGGGAGAATTCCTCCAGTCTTAGTTAGTTGTCCATCCCGTCTATGGTCTGGCTTGTTTCACTTTTTCACGTATAATGATGATATCCCTATCTCTTTTTCTTGGCTACATAATCGGAAATGGCTTGTTGAAGGGAATTGGATGGGATATATGTCCGACTCGACCAGTTGCTGCCACATCGCGACTTCTGCCATTACTAACTGTGTATCTAATGCTGACAACTGAATTTACACCGTCTGGTTGGCTGTTTTTATCGGCGGCCCGTCCTTCCCGACCCGAAAGGGAGGGCTGATTGGGTTACTACGCGATTGTGGCTTGAGCAGTACATCAACATGTTTCGTCTGCTAACCCGAAACGGGAAATTCGTCCCTTTTATGGTTGGGATGGAAGGCACTCGATCACGTAGTCATACAAAAGATACGTGATGGGAGCGTCGGCCCTGAATTCATCGGCGAGCTCTGTTCAGTCATAACACGATCACCATGTCGTCCGCAGTTTCATCAAAACCATCATCCTCGTCCAGTTCATCCCCAGGAATCGAGGCCTCACCCAGGCTCCGTGGCAACTCCAAGCCCACCTTTCTGTTCATCGACTCGCAGGCTGACAAGCCGCAGAATCGCTCAGTTAACAGACAAAAGCAGGCATTCCTCCTGCGAAACTATCACCGGAAGAAAAAACAAGCCTCGATTGAGAGGCTGAAACCTTCGAAGCCATCGAAAACATCCCCATGTCTTGTCCACGGCGGAACCTCGAATTTCTCGCCAGCATATCCTTGGGATTCCCTCGCAGAAGAGAATGAAGACTTCCAGTCAGACCGTCGGCAGGGCACTTTTAATCAGGTTGCAAAAATGTCGCAGATGTGGTCTCTGAAAGCGTATCTGAGCCAGGGTTTTGTGGATCCCTTTTCCGCGTCGGCCGTGCAAATGTCCGACTCGATGAATCTGTATTTTCATCACTGTATGAGCTGTTCACGGTTCAATGAGTAGACACGCTGACGAGTCTAGTCCGGATCCACACCATCGCCTCCTGTTATCCCCTTGACTCCACCCGCATGAGCATTTGGTGGTGGCAGCGAGCAATCTCCCAGCCGGCTCTGCTCCAAGCGCTCCTCTTCCTCACGGCGGGCCACCACGCAACCCTCGAATCCAACAACGGAGTCGCCTCCACAGCCATCGAGAAATCAATCAAAGACTCTCTCCGTCTCCGCGGGAACACCCTCAAAACGCTGAATGATATCTTGCAAGATCCCGCAAAAGCCGTCGCAGAGTCCACTACCCTCATCGTAGCCTCGCTGGTGGCCATCGAGGCTGTGGATGCCAACTTTGAGGCTGTGCACGCACACATGAAAGGTCTAAAGCGACTCATCCATCTCCTTGGCGGCCTCGACGCGCTGGACCACATGACCCTCTCCAAAATCTACCAGTAAGTCCAGTTCCAATTCCCTGAGTCAAAGAGACGGTAGTGACAAAACCTGTGCAGGTGCGATGTCAAAAGCGCAGCCCTCCAAAACTCCCGTCCCACGTTTCGCTTGTCCGCTCGCTGGCGCAGCGAGATTCTCCAGGAATCAACCCTCTTTCGCTCAACGGAACACCTTCACGTCTCCACATCCCTCGAGAAACTGGGGAGCCGCTTCTTCGCCGCACCGTGGTACCCACCCTTCGACGACACCTTGAAGACTTTCGTCCAGGTTCTGCGGCGCCTAATCATCTACTTCGAGACCGCGCAGCAGCAGCCCTCGATCGTCCTGCCGACGGACAACGACCTCTTCTTGGTGTTTGAGCACCAGCTCCTATCGACCGTGTATAAGACGGGTACAACTCTGTTGCAGGAGCCACTACGCTTGTCCCTGCTGATCTACCTGAACCTGCGGATCTGGCATTTTCAGGCCTTTCCGTTCATGCAGTTCATGGTCGAGGCTCTGAGGCGGAGTCTGATACCGGCATACGGACATGCCCAGTCCACCGCGCCGGATCTCCTCTTCTGGATCCTGTTCATCGGAGGGATGGCGTCGCAGGGCTATAAATGTCACCCCTGGTTCGTCAGCCGGTTAACGGAGACGGCGCGTCGTCTGGATTTGGTCGAATGGGAGAAAGCGAGGGAAACGCTAGGTGGGTTCTTCTATACCGATCAGCCGGGCGAGAGAGGCGCAGAGAATCTGTGGAACGAGGTGCTTCTGATGGAGAGTTGTAAGTGCTTCTATGACCTTGATCCGAGCATGCGGCTGACGTTATGCCAGACCCGTACATCGCCCCAAAACCGACATTCCAGGTCCTCGTGTTATAATGCTTTGAGAAGAGAGGCACTCGTTTGCTCGCAAGCGTTGCAGGATAACCGCATGGACAGCATCACCGTCGTGCGTAGCTTTGGGTTCCTGCTGAAAACAACGTCAGACGAAAGTGATCATGAGACAACGCATCAACAGACGAAGTCAGATACCGTATCATCGCTTTTTGTCTTATTTTGTTTTCTTCTTTTGCCCGCCTACCCACCCGGGGGCTCGAAGCCCCCCCAAAAGAAGAACACCGGCCACCATGGCCCCCCCCAAACAAAAAAAAAGAAACAACAAAAAACGAAAAAACTATCTAAAAAAAGCTATCTAAAATCTATCTAAAATAAAAAATACAAAAATAAAAAATACAAAACTAAAAAACAAAACAAGCAAACGACTGGCAATTTTGTATAAAAATGAAAAAAAAGGAGTGGACGGATCACGTCCCGGCCTCTTCACTAGTTTGACCACTGGAGGGATCGTCGCCGGCAGCGCTGCCCACGATCCCGGCCGCGTTGACTACTCCATTCAGATCGCCGACTCCCCCTCCAGTGTCGGGCTGGCTCGTCCGCGGGGCTCCTGGGGTCGAAGTTGTCTGGCCGGGAGGTGCAGGCTCGCCACGGCCCCCGTCACCGCTATCTGCGGTTTGACTTTCTTCATCGCCGGGGGTGGGCCTACTGCACGAGAATCCCGGCCATAGGAGGATTGACAGCACCCAGTTCCCAAGCGACTTCACCACTGCAGGCGGCGTCCACTTGAACACCGGGGGCTGCCAATCCCTGACTAAGGGTCTCAACCGGCTGCCGACCTCGTCAGCAACCTGGTCGAAGACCCTCCCAAGAGCCTTGCAGACGAACCAGGCTAGGAAGAGCACCGGGACGATCCAAGCATACTGGTACTCAATCAGTGCCGGCATACTATAAATGAAGATAAAAAATTGAATATAAAATTGTTAAAAAAAAGCGAGTGTATAAAATGTTACGATAACACTTAGAAAACAAAAGAGAAGAAGACAATAACTCGACAGCGACACGAAGCTACATATTCTGTTCAACGCAAGCTTAAGCTAGGTAGAGGAAGGCACTCCCCAATAACCTCAAAACACACCCTCATCAGGTGCTGGAGGAAGGTGCGGATGGGGAGGTCGACGACGACCACTCCTGATACAACAGGCACACTCCTCGGTACAATGTCCATAGACGCCGTGGACTTCTTCTTGATCGCCTGAAGGACGCAGGTATGTCAGTAGAGGTTTCCTGCAGCAGCCGCACGTCTGCCCACAGCAGCCTCCGAGATCCGCGCATTTCTCCTGGTCCCATACCCAGGCATAAAGCCGGCCATGGCGGTCTTTATGTGCACGGAGCAGCTGCAGCTTGTCCAATTCATATTCACGTTTCCACGACTCCTGCATCTTTCGCAATGCGGCTGCATTCTTCCAGTAGTCGACCATGAGGTCCTGGACGGCCTTTTGGAAGAGCTCTCGCTGCGTCTGGGTGATATAACCAGGGGGACACTTCTCCGTGACAGCTGGATCCTCCTCGTCTCCCAGTAATTGCATCAAACGATGCCGCCGCTGGAGGATAGCGAAACCGCGTGCCTCTTGCTCCAGAAAGGGGTTGACCTGGTTGTTCTGGACGTTGATCCGCTGCTTCGTTCCTCGCGTTTTTGGCTCGTCCCAGCACCAGTCGTTCTTCCATCGTTTGTGGGCCGATTTGAATTTCCGTTCGCACTTGGGCGTTTCCTCCTCCGCGTCCTTCTTGTTCTTGCGAAACAAAAACATCTTTCTTCGTGTGCAGCTTTCCTACAGTGAGGTGATTGTTGGAGGAAAGTTACGGACAGGATTTGGCAGCTGTTTGGTGTTCTGTCCATAGTATGAGGTCAGTATGAGTCGTGCATCTCATTCTTGAGACCATTCCTTTTCGGAATCCGACATCCAGACTCAAGATGGCTTACCCGAGTCATATGTATCGGCAATCGCTTGGTTGGACAGTTATTAGATTCTTGTTATATACTTTACAGAATATAACTAAGACTCTTACGACGCACCAGAGTGCATGCGCCATCATTTCATTGGATGGACGACTTAGAATACAGTATGCCAATTTAAAGCCCACATGGCCAAATACGTAATCACAATTGCCCTTTTGTCCTCCTTCCTTCTCATTGCCGTCGTCCCCGTTGTCTTCATTTTTGTCGTCGTCGTCGTCGTTGGAGGAGGAGGGCAGAGGTTACCCGAAGGCACGCACACACCTGCAGCCAGGGCAGGGGCCGGTACCACTATAATAAGAACCAGGCAGTAACTGTTTGAGAAATCCATGGGCATAGGAGGTTGGCGATGGTGATGTCACAAATATCACTACATTAGCCTCGTTATAGTAAAGTACGTAGTACATTGCTATGCCGGGGCGGTTGTCCGTGTGCCGACGTCCTACTCACCAAGCCTAGAAACTCCGAATGCCCTGTGGAGCAACCGAAATCAAGAGCAAGATCGTGTGAACCAAGGAAAGACATACATAAGAGGAAGATGCGTGGACCTTTTCTCGCATACGTGTATCTGGTCCCGACACCGCACTGTAGGGTCTACCCATGACCGGACTGCTGTATACTGGACTACCCTCTATCATAAAGTTCATCTGGACGGGGAGATCCTATCTTCCAGTTGCGTGTGCTTCCCCATTACCGTTTCAAATTGTCCTAGCGGCCCTATCTGTGTCATGAAGTCCGTGGCAAGCGCGCGGAGCTTATTCGGAAACCAGCATCTAGTACTGTCTAACCTGGACGAGACGTCGGTAAACTACCTAAGGTACTCTTGATCACATCTGCGACGAATGAGAGGTCGCTCTCTTGAATTCCTTGCGAGTGCTGTGAACTACCACTCTTGTACCTAGCCTTCATTGGCGTTTCGAACCAGGAAACTAATGAAATCTATCATGGCATTCTACAAAAGCTACGGCATGATTTACAATTTTATAAATATGGCTGGGAGGTGTACGGCCAGATGATACATTGTCTTGTTATCGGGACCTATCTCTGAAGCAAGGAAGGGAATGCAAGTTGCACAGAGTAAAGAGACTAAACAATGAACATGGAAGTTAAAATCAAGCAGACGGAAACGTGAGATGCTGGAATCAGGACTGGAAGCATAACTCAAGAAAGCAGACGTGCAGAGAAGAACAAATGGAATCCTCCATTTCCGCAGAGTGTCTCAGGTAGCACTTCTTTTTAGGGTCGGCGTGAACCATCCCGCCGGGCTTTGGGCCCGAGAGAAGAGCTTTGCGAAACAAGGTGTGGGAAAACAAGACTTTGATTATCCTATTATATATACACGAAGCAAGCGCACCCTCCTACCCATCCGGCCTACGTGCTTTGGCGCCAAGGCGCGGAAACGAGAAAGACAAAAGACACTGCAGATCGGTACACCCCGGCGTGCCAAACGATGGAATGACCTGTAGAATTCGTCCTGATATTGCGCCCACTCCCAAGGAATTGTGTAGTATACTTTTTTGTTGTGATGGTGATGGCGCCATACGGCGGATGTCCCAACCAGGCATCACTTTAATGACAAGCAACTCGCTCACGTTGTAATCGAGCCTAAGGATGCTGCAGTGGTGTCTGATCCGATGGTCACTGTGAAAACGCAGGCAAAAAGCCAAAACGCTACCCAACCTCCGCTGAAACCGACGTCGGCCTTTATGTTGGGAAATGTGACGTTCATTTTTGGAATGGGCTTTCCACGGAGCCTGGCAGTTGAGAGGATAAGTTAACAAGGCGATCAATTTATGCTACTACTAGAATACGTACCTTATTGTTATCCAGGCTGCACTAGCAATACCGAGAAAGAGCAAAGCAATTGTGACAACCGAATAAATTCCGAGCATTAGAAACCACAAGGCGGTACTTGTAGGCTAACAAAATCGTCGAACCTACACCTGCAGCCATTGAAGTTGTCAACATATGCTTCCGCATCCAGAGTAGAAAGGATTCCTTACTTGATCACCGTGGGAGCTTCCCATTTGAGCACGGGGTGCTGCCAATCCCTGACACAAGGTCTCAGTCGGTTCAAGACCTCCCAGCAGCCTTGCAAACGAATCAGGCCAAGAAGAGGACCGGGACGATCCAAACATACTTGTACTCTACAAGTGCAGGCATGTTGAAAATAAGAATTTGTGTAAAATTGTATAAAAACAATAAAAAGCGAGTGTCGTAGAAATGTTAGGATAACAGTTAGAAAACGAAAGAGAAGAAGAGAAGAATGGGTTTCGAGGGAGCAGGCAGGAAGCTCGGTGGGAAGACCCCCTTTATATCTTTTTGAGAAAGGAGACTGGAATCTGACACCAGTGAATAGAAACAGGTGGTTCCTTGGTCAAAGCCCTTGTGGTGAATGAAGATGGGAGTGATTGTGAATGTTTGGAGATGAGAAAAACGAGACCTTGGAGGGTGATGCTGGCCGCTGTGTACGGAGCAGTGCTCGCCTTCCCTTTCGGGAAGTATGACATGTCTCAGGCCGGGGCGGGGGCTGCTATAATCCATGACGTGATCGAGGAACACATAAACAGCAAGACCTATCTTGCATTTTGACGTATGCATTCACTGAGCCTTGCTATCTACATAAGGAGCGAATTAAACTGTCGTTGGGCAGATTTGTACTTCTACGGGCTCAGTGAGCACCCAAATGCGTCTTCTTGCGGACACTGCACTATGTAATTCATAGTTCACTGAGTAAATGCAAAGGCGGACAGGCCTAAGTCCAAATTAAACGTATATATTCAAGGATCCACGATCATAATATACATCACCATCAGTGACCGTGTCATGAAATCATCAGACGAGAACTAGTCGGACTGTTTCATTAATAGGCTATAGGCACAGTCACCTTTATTTGCCAGAGATATGCCCAAGCGACAATTAAGCCTCGTCCGCGTCGGCGATCTTCTCGATGACATGTCCATCGGGCTGGACAACAACCTTGTCGACCTGGAGCGAGGCCTTGACGGGCTTGGGCTGCTGGTAGACCCACTCGAGTTCCTCGAGCGTTCGGCCCTGCGATTCGACACTATTCCGGTCAGACTAGCTTTTACGGCTTTACGGCAAAGGAAGGACATACCCAAACAGATACCAGCAGAGAGACTCGAACAAGTCCCATCCGACGAAAATCCAAAAGTAGTGGGTGGAGATATTCTGCAGACCGATGGGACTGGCGAACTGGCTGACGAAACTGATGCAGCTGACCATGAAACCGGACAGGGCGAGACCCTTGGCACGAGTGGTAGTTTCGAGGGCCTCGGCGGGAATGACACCCTGCAGGGGGGTATAGGTGAAGGAGAAGACGATGTTGAAGAGGTAGTAGAAGGCGACGGCGGCCTGGCCGTAGGTTTTGTTGATGTTGCCGGTGGCGGTCTGCGTGATCAGGGGCTCGGAGATACCGGCGTTGATGGCCATTGTGATGGCACAAGCTAAAGAGTCAGTGGCGACTCAGCAGTTGAAGCGGGGAGAGAACGTACCAAAAGTACCCCAGATCAGAACCTTTCGACGGGGCATGCGATCGGTAAGGGACACGGCGGTCAGAGCGCCGATGGCGGAAACGATAGAGTTGATCAAGTTCATGAGCAGCTGCATGGAGCTGGAGGTGTAACCCAGGGTGTTGTAGATAGTGGCGTTGAAGTAACCCAGACCGTTACCGGACCACTGACCAAAGACGGAGATCATCATGACCTGGAGGAAACGCCAGCGACCGCTGTGGGTGAAGAAGAATGGGCGGTCTAACCGATCGATCAGTTCCAGCACTAGGTGTTGGTGGATGGAAGCACTTACAATCCCACCATCTCTTGTCGATACCATCCAAACGAATACCCTCTCTCATCTCCTCGATCTCCAGGAGGACCAGGCGGGCATTGCGGTTGCCATTACCATGGTACTTGGTCAGGAAATCGATGGCCGACGCTTCCTGGCCGTGGGCTATCTGCCAACGAGGTGACTCGGGAATGAACCAGATGGAGCAGATGACGATGATGCAGGCAAAGCATTGCAAGATGAAGGGAATACGCCACGAGTAGTCGCTGTCGACGAAGTTGCAGCCGTAGGTAATGGCCGCAGCCGGGATGGAACCACCGAACCAGCCGCAATTGTAGAAACCTACTCGGTTAAGCAATTGATAAGATTTCAGCAGTTCCAAGGCGACTCACCAACAGCACGTCCACGCCAGTGGGGAGGAGAAATCTCAACAGCGTAAGCGGGAGCAGACACGATCATGACCTGGATACCGAAACCAAGAACCAGGCGACCGACGTAGAACTGCGGGAGATGGTTGGAGGTCGCGATAATGATGGAACCGACGATAATGATCCAGGAACCCACGAACATACACTTACGACGACCGAGCCTGTCGGAAATAACGGCACTAAAAGGCGTCGCGGCGATGGAACCACTGCGAATAGAATACATGAGATGGAGCCTCTCAAACAGTCTGTACATAAGAAGACTTACAGGGTGTAGAGGGACGTCACTAGGGAGACCTTAGGACCGTCCAGACCGGTGTGGAAGGTATTCTGATAGTGTTTCATGGCGAGAACCGCTCCCATGAGCGAACCTATCCTCGAATTAGGGTTTTGCTCATCACAAAAGTTGCCAAGTCACACACCATCATAACCGTTGGCGCAAGCGCAGCAGAAGGAGACGAAGATGCAGACTAGCAGTTGTCAGCGTTGTCAACTATCAATTCCAGCGGCAGTGTATTCCAGACGCACAGTACAAGTGAATCGACTCCTTGCTCCATCGGGGAAT